CACCCAGCCCAGCTGCACCAGGGGCTGCCTTTTCTGTGCTGTTCATTTGCTGCTCTCGTGGGCTGGTGTTTTCACTGACAGAATAAAAGCTGCTCCATAACAGCAGATAAAGTAAACTCTGTTAGTATGGGGTTGGCATGGCCAGGTTTGGGTAGTGGGGGATAGTACTGGGGTGATTCTCTGAGAAGCTGCTGGAAGCCTCCCCTGTGTCCAGCTTGAGCCAGGCAGCTCCAGGATGGATCCTCTGGCCAACTCCTCAATGATGAGGAAGGAAGAAGGAGAGAATGTTTAATAAAATGACTGCAAACCCCGTTCTCCATCTCCCTGAGGGGAAGGAGGAAGAGAAAATTGAGAGTGAAGTTAAGCCTTGGAAGGAGGGAAGGGTGGGATAAAGGAGTGCTAAAGATTTAGTTTCCTTTGTCTTTATCCTACTGTGATTTGATTGGTAATAAACTAATTTCCCTAAGTCTCTGTTGCCTGTGACAGTGATCAGTGACTGATCTCTCTCTGTGTTCCCATCCCAACCCACGAGCCTTTTATTGTATTTTCCCTCCTCTGCCCAGCTGGTGAAGGGACTTGATAGGGTGACTTTTGTGGGTGTGTGGCATCCAGCCAGGATCAGTGTTTGAAAGATGATTAGCACATGTAGAAGTAGATTAGACTGTAGATGTGTAGAATTCCTTGAAGAAGTCTAGGAGCCTATCCTAAATGATAATTCAAAGTAGAAAATAGAGCATTTACTGTTAAATTAAAAGGACACTCGATTAAAGACCACACACTCTCACTGGAATTGTCATCATCACAATTTGATACAGTTATTGCTAACATCTAACACTGAACAGTTTATTTTTCACATTTCAGTTCTGTCTTCCACACAGCAGCAAATCCGTTTATCATGTGACAAAAATGCCATTTTTTCAAGGATTGCTGCAGTTAGATTAGTTACATTAGTTACATAGGCAATGCAGGCCTGTGAAGGAGACAGAATGCCCAAGTTAAACATATTTTCAGGAAGAGAATGACAGATTCAGGAAAAGAAAACCATTTCAGGTTAAATAATCTGTAACAGACTGGAGAAAGATGCTGGCATTTTTTATGTATTTAACAGAGTCTTTAACACAGAAACTAATCCCTACCTGCTGCATTTTCATTCTTCTTATCATGGTGATACTCACTCTTTTCTTCTCACTAGGAATTTAAGCAGGCTCACTTGACAGATGTGTCTTCACAGAGGGAAGAATCCAGATGCAATGCCTGGCTGGAACACCAAAGTGAAATAAAGCAAGATTCAAGAAAGACTCTAAGTTTTGGAGAATTGTTTAATAAGTCAGCTGATCTGCTGTGGTGAAAATGGACTGTTTCTTCATTGCCTCATCCTGCAGTGTCTTTAGCATTTGACAAATAATTTGCAATCTAGTTTTGATATATACCCCAATATGAAAAAATTCTGGGGAGAAGGGAGTCAGAAATTAAAACTTCCAGCTTAACAGCTTCACTCCACTCAGGTTCTGAAACTATCCAAGAATTCTCAGGAGGGAGACCTGTGCCATTTTTTTAGCAGAGAACTTGAGGTAAGATCAGCCAGATCATGGATCCACAATGTTTTTCATCACCATTATCAGAAGAACAGAGACAAACATTTCTATGCTTTCTGCAGTTCATAATGCTGCAGTCAAAGTTCTAACTGTTCCACGGGTTACTGTTAAATAAAAGATCTGAATTATCTCACTATCAGCAAGTGCTAGTTGCCTTTCTTCTACGATTTGAGATGGTTTCAGAGGGCCCAGGTTTTTTCCTTACTGAGGTTTTGTGATAAGAGAACTGCATAGAGCACTTGGCAACCACAGCTCAAGTGCTCTTCTAAAATGTAACAGCATTATCTCAAAGATAGGGACAACAGAGGTCATGTGGACTTGCCCCATTTCCGAAAATACATAACTGACAGAGACTGGCAGAACTCTCAGGGAGGTTTTTGCCTCTGTTTTATTTTAGTAAGGTCTGTTTTGGGAAGGAGAAAAAGAAAAAAAAGGAAGCTAAAACCAAACTTCTTAATAATTTTAGAGTTGATTAATCCCTGTTTCCTTTTCCTGTCATACTGGAGATTTTCCTCTGTAGCCACTGCCACATACTTTTTCCCCCACTTATTTTGTAAAGTGAATGATAACAGGATTTCCTTAATAACTTTTGTCCATTTTGTTGCTTTTGTGAGTGAGATTGTGCTTTTCCATTTCCATTAAGGTTGTGCTGCCAAAAACCTTCCAGTGGCTTTACTGTTCTGCACTTTTAAGAGAGTGGAAAACTTCTTCTCATCAGTTTGGACACAGGGACAGGAGGTGGGAATGTGTCAATATGGAGTGTTGGTGGCAAAGCCTCACCTTCATTTTCCAAATGCAAAAAGGATGCATCCTATATAAATTTGAGGGGTTTATTTCCCTTCTTGAATGTTAGAAATGCAGCAGACTCCCAGCACATGCATCTCTCTAATCAAATGTGTTAAAGTATAACACAGATATTGAAATGAGACAGTATATGCCCCTGATGAATATATATTTATGGAGCAATATGCAAGATTATGAAAACTGGCAATTTACTTTTTTGACAGTGAATATTGGCAGGAGTGCAAAACTTTGTAGTGCACTATCTCTGTAGTAAAAGGAGAATGAATCAAAATGGATTTTTTTCCTATTTCTGGCCAATTAAAAAGCTCATAGACAATGTCCCATCTTCTTCCACTAACTATAAAAAACAGATGCCCACTGGGCTTGCTTTCTTCTGTGTTCTGCTTCTCTCTTTCTTTGTGTCTTTAAACTGTACACAAGACATGGAAGAAAATATCTCATTTCTTTTAGGCACAGCACTTCAGTCACAGTGTCTTCCTGTCCAAACTGGCCTGTGGTACACAATCTCAGATTCAGCTGTAATCACATGGCCATCTGGATTAACTACACGTGGAACTAAACAAAGCCCCATGTGCAAGTGTTTACAAGATCTTTTTTTTTTTTTTTTTTAATTTCAGTGGCAATATCACTTTCCAGGCAGTTTTGCTTTATAGTCTACCAATAACATCTCTCTTCTTTTCCATCATGACCTGCTGGCAAGAAGGCTCCATCCCATTCTTGTGAAACTGCTTTGCCTCATAGACCCAAATCTAAGTTTTTGAGAACTGACTGGAGCTGTGAGAACAGAACAGTTTCCAGTTAGGGAACTCCATCTGAATAATGGCTTGAGCTGCTTTGGCAAAAAAAAAAAAAATAAAATCATGGGAAGAGAAACAAAACCATTCTTTGTCCTCTATCCTCACCTCTTGTAGCATTTCAGATCCAATTCTGGTTCTTGGTCTGGATCTTCCAGAGATAAATTACATATGACCAGGTTATCCAAAGGGTAAAATGAGTTCCTGCAGGAGACAAATACTCCCAGCTGTCTTGTCCATGGAATGAACTACAGGGACTGAGGGCAGACCTTCCTCATTTTCCCTCAGTGCTGCCTTCTGGGGCACATATGGTTGATCACGAGGATAAAAACTAAATCCCTCCCAGTCATACATAATCTCAGTGAAATGATACACAACTGCATCCACTCCCTTCTCCTGGGGAGGAGGCTAAAGAACAATGGTGTGACATGGATTACTGGAATGCACCTAGACACGAGGTCAGGGTGTGCAAAATTCAGGGTCTTGCTACAGGGCAGGTAGTTTTAGCCTGCCACAAAATGAAATGAGACTTAGACCACATAATCATGAGTCAGTCTAATCCTTTCCCTTCCTTTCTCCCCTTTCCTGAGTCCTTCCCAGCAATATTTAACCCAGGGATCTATTCAATAAGATGATACAGCTGGGGTTTTTTTCTTTGGGTTTTGGTGCTGATTTTATTTGTTTGTTTGGTTTTGGGTTTTTGGTGGGTTTCTTGGGGTTTTTGTTTTTTTTTTTTTAATTTTTACATGTTCTGTTTTGTTGTTGTTTTAGTTTTAGGTTTTGATTTTTGTTTTGTTTTCGGTTGGATTGTTTTCCTTAGTATGACATTCCCTGAACACTCCCTGGACATCTGCTTCCAAAAGGTGGCACACATCTCTCCATCCAGTGGAGAAAAGCACGATGAATCAAATCACCAAACCACATTGATACACACAGGTTTGATTTATACACCACACACCAATTCAAGCTTCTTCTCCAGCAAGTGAGACATCCATTGCTACAAGATCTTCAAGGTGCCAGGAGCTGAAGCTGCAGATCCGTTTGCAAGGCTGGTATCCAAGTGACTTTATTGATGTCCCCACTGCATGGAACACTTAAATTTATGCTTAATTTACCTTACCTGCCTCCTGCTGAAGTCTGCTGAGTGACTTGGGCCTGCCAGGCTGTCTCTTTTTATTTTAATACACACAGGTATCACCTGTGTGCTGTTTCCATGCCCACCTGGAAGTGCAGCTGTGCTGCTGGGGGTGAACATGCAGGTGCAAATATAGGTGGGCATTTTTCTTTGCTTCACTGGTAGGAAAGCAAACCAAGGGCAGCTCCTCCCTGCACCTGTGATCTGCTTCCTAGTAAAATTTTAGTACATCTGGCTGCTTTATCAGGGCAGCTGTACTCAGGGAACACAGCAATTTTAGGAAACACCATCTCAGCCCTGCAACAGTCCTTTATTTCCGAACAAAGCAAGCTTGAGAGCGGTAGTGAAATGGAGAACTGTGGTTAGGCAAGGAAAAATATTAGCCTAGGGGTTTGTCTTTTGGAACTTGGGGCTGTCATTTTTGATGCAGCTTCAACTGAGTCTCAGCAACTCCGGCGCCTTCACCGACCTCAGCACCGCAGCAGCTCTGGGAAACCTTCTTCCCTCTCGCACTGTGGTTAAAAACCTCCCGTGTCACAAGAATAGGATGAAATTCCTTGATTCCAGGCTGGAAAGGAGCTGTCGCTACCCGGGCGCTCCTTTGTGTCGCTGCTGCTCCGCGGGTACCGCCAGGGGAGGAGGAGGAGGAGGAGGAGGAGGAAGAGGAGGAGGGGTTGATGGAGCGAGGTCCTGTAGCGACAGCCGAGCCGGAGGCTGCTGCTCCTGGCTCTCTCCCGTGGGTTTGGCCGCTTCATCCGTGTTTTTGGAAGGACAGCTGAGGGTCCGGGTGGAGGAGGTGAGTTCCCTTTCATTCCCCGGGAATTAAAATGCGTGGCTGCCGCGTTTCTGTGCGGGAGGTAAATTGCTGCTTCTTTCTTCTTGTTCTTCTTCTTCTTCCTTGTGTTATTGTCATCGTCATCACCGTTTTCCACTAGTTCGGCTGAGGTTTGGTTTTAACTCTTTCATTAGAATAAAAAAAACCGAAGCAAACCCATTTGAAGAGTAATAATGCCCAGAGTGAAGCGATCGGGCTGGAGGTTCTCTCAGGCAGAATTACCTTCGGGACTTCGGAGCCGGGGAGCAAAGAAATACAGTTTCTTTCCATTCCAGAGGCTGTGACAAACTGTAGCCATTTCTGGGATTTAGCCTAGAAATTCCAAATCCTTTTTTGCCTTTTTACTTATTTATTATTTTTAAATTTCTTCTTCCTTTCAATTGCCGGGTTATCACAGGGCTCCTTGCAGGTATGAGGAGTTGTGAAACTACTCAGTAATGTACCTGCCTATGTCAGAGGAGTTTAACTTTCAAAGCAAATCAATTGTTTAAACTTGAATTTAACCCTGTGTTGCCCCCTCTGGGGCTGCTGATGGTGTGTGCAGGATGTTTACCAAGTAAGTGCCTCAACTTTGGACTGCACAGGGCAATCCAGCCATTCCCAAGGCATCAAACCAGTGAAAGCAGAGCGTGTTTGCCTATTAGAGATTGCTTGCTTTGGCAAGGATGTTTACAGGCCAGCCAAGGTCCACTGGAATAAACAGGAAAACTCTCACTGAGGATGACTCATGTCCGTGGGCTTTGGACCAGAGCAGGGTGTTGGAAATGTGCTTTGCCAAGTGGGACTCGGTAGGTAACCCTCCCACAGCCCCCTTGGCTTGTAAAGGGAGTGGGATGAGGTGCAGAGTGCTGTCAGACAGAAACGTGTGGGTTTGTGGCTTGCTTTAAATACATTTGCTAATTGCTCGTGTGTTCCTTGGGGTTTAACGTGTCATTGATCTTTTAATTAATTGCCAATGGCTTAGTCTGCTGCTGTTTGTGAGGCTGATGAGGCAAATTGCAGCCTTTCTGCAGTAATTATTATTGTGGTGGCATCTTGGGGTGTGCAGTGTCTGCTTAGAAACTTCCAGGTGTGGGGTGCTTGTGAGTGAGGTATCAGACTCACCTGGGAAGACACAGATCAGCTGGCTGCCAGATTTTCCAGTCAGAAGGGACTTTTTCTAATGCTTTTTCTGATCTCTTGCTTATCACAGGCCACACAGGATTCACAAATAAATTCTACACCAAGCCCACGACTTCTGCGAGGTCTCCTCTTGCCCCCATGGACAGGCTCCAGCCGTGGCAGGGCTTCAAGCACTGTCTGGTGGCTCACAGGCTTGAGCTCTGAAAGAGTGAGTAGTATCTTCCATTTTAAACGGCTGTAATTAGGCTGGGAGCTATTTTGATCTATCAAAATATGGTTTTGCAAATAATGCCTATTAAAACACATTTAATAGGCATTAAATACCAGTGGTTGTTGTGGCTCTTGTGTTGGCAGAGCCACTTTCTCTTTGAATTTGTATATTTTCTTGTTCTCTGCAGCAGATGCAAAGAGATGTGTGTGGTTTCTGTAGTAGCAGAAACTTCACCTACCTTTGAAAACATTTGAAAACACATCTATCTAGTGTGTTCTTTGCATTCCTGTAGGGTCTCTTGATAGAAATTTTAGGGGGGAGCTGTTTCTGGATGATGTTCTGAATGGGTTCATCCTCACACCACCATTGATCAGATGAAAATATTACCCTAAAGATGACTCCAGCTAGTTGGAGCAGGCCCAGAAGAGCCATTGTGGGCATCCTTCCATTGAAATAAAACAGATTATAGACCAATGAAAAGTATCTGAGAGCGTCACAAAAGTGGTCACGGCAGATTTCTGCTGCCAGGAGGGTGTCCTGCTTTCCGTATGGAAGCTGGCAGGAAGAAATGTTTCTGCTGCTGCTGCTGCTTAGACCCACAGTCTGAAAGGGAGGGAAATTATTTGTGACACAGTGCAGGAAGGCTTGTCACAAAATCAAATTGCTGAAAACCACCAAAGTGGTAATAAGAACGCTTATCTAGGGATTCTTGAACTGCTCCTGTGTCATCCTCGCTGTGTCAGCCCCCTTGGTGCTCTGATATAGGTATTTTTTACCATTCTTGCTATGGTACACCCCTCCACACAGCAAAGAATCTCATCTGTCCCTTGCATGTGATTACTGGACTTGTTTTCAGAGCAGTACAAAGCAACAGGAAGGGAAAAAGAGTATCTGGTATATTTCTCACTTTGCTCTCATTTAAGCTTAGTGCAAGGCAATGTAGACCAGAATTAATTACTAATTCTAATTATACTTTGTGTCTTGGAGACATTGATATTTTCAATTTCAAATGTATGCATCTGCAGCCTTTTTTTTTTTTTTTTTTTTTTTTTCTCCACTGCAGCAACAAAGCCAGGAAAGCTCTTAAACACATGCCTATTTTAAGCCTGCCAGCAGTCCCTTTGACTTAATTCAGCTGAGTGGCCAAGGGTGGCCCAGGGCAATAGTTTAATATAAAATTCTCTCTGTCCTGATGGCAGTCAAAGTTGTTGTGGTTTTTTTCAGGGCATTGAGGGAAGAGGAGCAGGGGAGAAGGGGAGAAGTTGTTTATTGCTGAAGCCTTATACAACTTAGCCAAGCTCTTCTGGGTAAACCCTCAAAATGGGGATTCTCGTGTGTTAAAAATTCTGGTGTCTTGGTACTTGCTTTCAGCCTGAAAAAACTCTGGGTTTTGTGTGATACTCATTCATTCCAGGCAGTTTTAGAAAGCCTTGTTAATTCCCAAAACACTTAATTATAATAAAACCACAGTTAGATCTGCCTCAGACCTGTCTGCTTCTGACCTGGAGTGTGCCCATGCCTTGGCACTTTACAATCCTTCCACACTCCCTTGTCTTCACCTTTTTTCTGCACAATGTCATGCACTTTCCCGTTTTGTTCCCAATTTGCCAGTATTTACCTCACAGTTTTTCTTTCCTTGATGGCCAGCCAGTATATTTGCCAGGACCTTCACTCTGCTTTTGTGTTTTCCTCTTCTCTGTTCAGTGTCAGCCTGCACACTCTGAGCAGCTCAGGACAAGGATTTCAGTCGGATTTCTCCTTCTGTGTTTGTCCCCATGCTTGGACATCAGCATGGTGATCACAGTGATATTTCTTTGATTATGTCTCAGAGAGGTGTGCCAGTGGAAAACTGCTTGTTGGGACCAGTTTGGGGGATAAGTCAGCATCCAAATCTGTGAGTTACCAGTGGAAAGGAGAGAACAAGCATCAGCACCAGGGTTAAAGGGAATGTAGCAGTGACACTGATGAAATTTGACTAGTATGATGCAACCGTGGCCCATTTGGTTTGCTGAATATCACCTCATAAATTCCTGATCTTTGGAGCCTCCCTGGCTCTTGAACTGAAAGCTGCACTTTCCCATCCTTATTTTTCTTGATTTGTGGATGTTGCCATGCATTCCCATCTAACAGCAGTGCATTTCTTATGCTCTGTTCTGAGAAATGATGATTATTAGCACGTTTCTTTCCTAACAACCAGCTTCCTCTTGGAGTTGTCACTCAGTTTTATTTGCTTATACCACAGATTAGCAATATCAGACTTATTCCTTCTGGTGAAACCCAGAGCTTGACACCCTGGCTTCTCAAAATACACAGAAAGGATGAGGGGGCTATTTATAAAACAGATTGGAGGCAAAAAGCTGTAGCCAGTATGAAATGATGAAGACAATGAGGCATACTTGAAAGCAGTGATAGCAAAAGAGCCTACTGTATACCTCTCTTTAAATTCAGTATTAAATTTGAAGTTATGAACAAATCTGTTACTGATATTCCAATGTGGTAATATCCATGAATATCTGTTGATCTTTGGTCTCATTTGAAATGGTCTTCTGGTGGGGTTTTTTTTAATTGGCTTTTGGGGTTTTTTTTTGTTTTTTTGGTTTTTTTGGGGGGTTTTTTTTGGTTTTTTTTGTTGTTGTTGTTTTGGGGGGGGTTTTGGGTTTTTTGGGGGGGGGTTGGGGTTTTTATTTTGGGTTTTTTTGGGTGGGTTTTTTTGGGTTATTTTGTTTGTTTGTTTGTTATTTGTAAATTAATATTTGGTCCCCAGGACTGAAGCTACCACTGTAAGGTATCTGTATTACATTTTAAAGATTACCTCCATCAAATTTTAACAGTCTCCACTTATTAAATGTATTATGTAAACAGTTTTAAAATGTCATTTCCTAAGAGTTTCTGGAAAACCTTTAAGCAGGTGTATTGCAAGCCACTTTCACCTCATTTTGGAGGTTTGGAAGAGTGGGGTTTGGGCAGCAGTGGCAGGGGAGGTGCAGAGCTGTTACTAATTCACAGAGAATTTCCTTTCTCAGGTCACTTACAGGTCAAAGCTAGCAAAATACACCAGAGATTTTGAGTGGGCTTTGACAGATAAATAATCCATATAACTTCACCCAGTCTTTGGAGAGATAATTTTCATTCAAATGGGTATTTAAAAGAAGGAGAGAGATATTTCTAAATTTAAATACCTGTGATTTAACACAGTGTTTTACTCTTAGTGATTATTCAAAATGAGGTTTTATATTTTCCTTTTGCTTTCCAGCATTGTAACTGACTTTTCCTTGTACTTCTGCCCCTTTTTGGATTGAATTCTGCTGTCTGCACCTCAGTGTCTGTGTGAGAAAATTTGCTCTTGTGCAGCCACTGCCAATGTAAATTCAAAGAGCAATTTCTAGAGGGTTTTGAACGTTATGCCATAATACTTTTTTATCAGAAACACATAAGAATTGCAATTCTGCTATCTCTGTGAGGATAATATTAGCAGAGTTCTCATCATCTTTGCACTGTCCTTACTGGAGTCTTAGCTTTGTGTTAAGAGCTCTTCTACAGGCATTCCATAAAATTAAATGGAGATTAAAACTAATTGCTTTCTATGTTTCTAAGCCACTGTAAAAACTTGAATAATAAGTTGAGGAAATTGTCTTTTTGAACGGTTTTCTTTTTTTTTTCTGCTATTGAAAAATTTTATCACTAAAGAGTTTTTCCTCTCCCATCCTATAAAACTTTCACTAATGGCAAAGAACAATTCATTATATGTCTTAAAAGAAAACTGTAAACAATAAGAAATAAGAATCAATGTGATTATTGAGCACAATTTATATCCCCAAGTTTCAGTAATGCAAAAGAAAATTACAGGAGAACTTCCAGCATCTCATTTATTATATTCTGCTGATATTAGTCATGGTGAGTTTCTGGCTAAAAAGATGAAAAATGCAGTTTTCATATTTAAGATCTGATATTTAAGCTTTGAAAAATCCCATGAAGAAAATGGAATGAGGAGGTGATTGAGTGGCATAACATGGGACAGGAAATGTCACAGCCTTTAGAAGCCAAACCAGTGCATTTTGTGACCTTTGCTATTGTCCTTTGGTGCTGATCTGAAATCCACTATGGGTTGAATTTCTCTGCTTAGGAACAAACCCAGGAATAATGTTTTCTTTAGTTGTTCCCCATTGCCTTCAGAGAGATTATTTCCATAATGAGGAAAATTGAGAGTGCAGTAGGTTTTTCTGCTGATGACCAAATCTTTGCAGCAGGATCTTCACTGGACCTTCTCTGATTTTTGAGTCTTCTCATCTCTGCCTCTGCCTCCTCGTGGAGTAGCTGAGTCTTGGTATTCTTATCTGAAAATGCATTTAGAAGGGATTAGCTGAGGCATGGGAGTCAAGACACTTTTGAAATGCATAGCATTATAATCTGAAATAATTCAGTGCCCCTGTTAGGAATAGTTTTTAATTTAATCTCTTCATAATTAAAAGGGAGAAATAAGGTGTCAAGGGGAAAAATACTTGCATGTACTCATGTGAAATGTAGGTAGCTACTTTAACTTAAATTCCTAGGTTACCTTACATTCTGTTTAACTTAGATAATCTTAACTGTTAAGTGTCTGTTGCCCAGTCCAAATATTTGGCTCTGTTTAAATTGAATTTGATTACTTCAAGAAATTTGCTAGTATTTTGTTTGCTCTCAGTGTTGCCAGAGAACCCACCAGTGGCTATTCAGATTTTTTTCTCTAAGATGTGTGAATATTTTAAATGGAAATCCCTGTATAAAAGTGTTTGTGTATTTAGTATCAGTAAAGGATTACAAACTGACCAGAAGGGGAGAGGCAGAGATGCTTTGTTAGACCTGTGAGATCCTCAGCATTCTGTAGAAGAGCCTTCAAGTTTTTATAGGAAGTGGAAAAAGAAACTTTCTCTTTGAAAATTGCAGTTATTAAAAAAAAAAAAAAAAAAAGGAGGGGGGGGCATAAACTTGGTATTAATTTAAGCAGAATTTTGGAGCTA